TTGGTTACTTCGTTTTTTTTGGTTTTTTTCATTTTACAAGTACTTATTAGATCCAAGTTGCACGTGGGAATCTCATTTTTGCGAAAAACCCCGAACTTGTACGCTTGTGATAAGTTTATCATCCGTTACTTTCTGTTAAATTTTATCACCAGATTACTGAATTTGATGACAAGTTGCAATTGACATGTGTACCGATTTTGAGTTTTACCCTCCGTTTTATCACAAGTGCATCAGTTTATGATTTTTTATAGTATTAAATAAATTTAACGGAAATTAACAGAGGGTAAATTTGTCACAAATGTAGTGATTTGAGGTTTTTTGTGATCAAAAAATTAGTTTTGAGTAAATTTATTGCGGATGTACCGATTTAGGATTTTTGTGGTCAAAAAATTAATTTGGGGTAAATTTATCTTAGATGTGCTAGTTTAAGGTTTTTCGTGATATTAACCCTTTTTTTTTATTGAGATCAAAAAAAAAGTTCGAGTCAAAATTGTCACTCAAAATAAAATGGAGATAAAATCGATGTTTTTTTTTTTTTGGCATTAGCCTCTCTTTTTTAAGATTCATGTAGTTGGTGAACGTCAAGAATGCGAAATGCGACCCGATTGAAAGATTGATTCGGGTCAATTAAATTTTTGATTGTTGAAGGCACACTTGCCCGAATCGAGATTATATGGTCGCGGGATGTTCGATTTGAAGCATTAAAAAAGAGAACCAAAATCGAGAATTATTTATAGCCACATTAATAAATGCGAGTTGATAAAAGTTGGGTTGTTCGGTAGAATACGCTGAAAAATGCAATAAATGTTTGCATCGATATTCTTTAATTTTTGGTACTAAGATTTGTGTCATAATGGACAGGACTTGGATTTTATAGGTAGGGTTGCCTGGCTCTGTTTGTACGAGGTCGTGACCAAACTGAACCTCCCTGCATCGGATCGTACAGCAAGATGTGTAGTGAAGACATTTACTTAAATTCGAAATAAGAAATCCGAGGAAATATTTTTAAAATATTGAAAATCAAATTGGGACCGGACTACATTGAAGTCTTCTTCGTTGCCCACATTTTACTATCGATGCACGTGTCTACTTCAATTTTTGGTCTATTTTTAACGCGGTTATTTTACGCGAAATCCGTCAATTTTTTATCTAATTGATACCGACTTGACGGGGCCTCGTCTTTCCATATCCAAGTTCACACGGCAGCGGTTTTCCTAATGGCTTAGCGTATCCTGATTACATCGATGGAGAAGACTTTCACTTTAATCCGAGATAAGGAATATGAATAATTCAAAAGAAATCATAATAAGTCGCACCGAAAAAAAACCCCTCATCGTTTTACTATTGACACGTGTAATTAGTTAATTTTTCAATCTATTTTTAAGGCGATTATTTACGTAAAATTCGTCGATTTCTAATCCATTAATGCCGACTTGATGGGCGCCTCATCTTTCGAAATCCCAATTCACACGACCCTCGTCCCAAATGGTCGGCGATCTCCTAAATGGCTCAGTAGACTTCTTGATTGGCCGGCTACAATCTTATTTTTTCAAAATTTTATCATATAATTATCACGAAAGGTTCATTAAATAATATTTGCCGAAAAAAAGACTCATTAACAGGCTCAATTTGTTTCGTGACAAATGCATGATTTGAAAATATTTTCCTAAAAATAATCGCTTGTATAATTTAGTTAGTAAAAAATATTTTCTTTATTGATAACAATTTATATCTAAATATTTTCGTGGACAATAAAAATATATTTTGCTCTTTTAATTTTGCAAATAATATTAGCAATTATTTTCAAAAAAGTTATTTTTAAATGATTTATCTTTCGCGAAATAAACGATGTCTAAATAACCATGGTAAAATATCCACGGAAGACTTGACGCAGCAATTTCTCACTTTGGACAGCATACACACGACTTTGCATTTTTTAAGTTGCCGTCCACAGTGATTTACTTCTATTTTATACTTTTCGCGCACCGATTAGAATTGAATTTAGAAGAGCCCGGGAAGTGGCTTGGAATATAAGGTGGTTGATTTGCTTAGTAAAAAATAAATAATTTCAAAAGATATATTTTTTAAAAACCGTCATTTGTATCGTTTGGACGAACGAAAGATATTTTTACCGTCTATGAAAATTTTTAGATATAAATTATCGTCGATAATGAGAAATTTTTTTCATTGACTAATCATTTCAAGCAATACAAAAAATCGCTCTTAGGTAAATGCATTATAAATTATTTATTTTTAGCAAAATAAATGGAGCTTTTAAAGAAAGAAAAATCGCATTGCTTGAAGAGGATTTTGAATATTTTTAGGCGTTTGGACTTGGAATATTCACCCCATTTTTATTTTTATTTTGTACTTGGAAGACTCGGCGATAGAATATTCTGCTTTATGGACAACTCCTGTACATTTCTGAAAAGTTGGTTTGTGTCGAAAAAGTGATGGTGAAAGAAGCTGACGATTCCCCAGTCTTGTCTTGACAGCTTGTTTGAAATTTTACCGACGGTTTGAAAAGATTATCGACTTATTTTTTGCATAGAAAAAAAAAAGATCACCAATTTTCCGAATTTTCAAATCTTTTTAATAGGAAAAAATTTATTGATAACTTACCGACACTTCATACGAAATCAATAATTACTCATTTTTTTCGAAAAGTCCAATCTAAAATTTTAAGTTATCAAGCAAATGGAGAACAAGTGTGCGTTGGAGCATGTCAAATGACATAGACTATATTTCTGGAGATAACGACACAAACGGTCCATGAACTTTGGCCCGATGTGCAATGTGGTCGCTGGATTTTTAATTTGTTCAAATATGGTTTCTGAACTTTTAATTTATTTAATATGATCATTAGACTCTTGGTACATGCTCGACGTAATCCTTGCGTGAAAATGTTCAATGTAGTCGTTCAATTAATTTAATACCAGGGAGAACACCGAAAATTTCGGGACTAAAATGAACATATATAAAAAGTTCATGGATTTTATTGAATAAATAAAAAATCGAATGACTATATTACACATCGAATTAAAATTCAGGGATCGCACCGAATAAATTACAAGTTTATAGATCGGGATCATTCGTGTCATTTTCTCGCATTTCTAACATACGCGATTGGGCAAAAAAACCTTAACGTGCAAGGTGCCGGCAGCGTCGCTCTCGAGTTATTACAGCGATGGGTCCCGCTTTTGATGACAGATGCTACGCCGTGCTTACATTCCTAACGTTAAAAATTGGTGTCCTCGTACAGAGAAAAACGCAGCAGAAGTGTCCGTCCATTTAAAGATAAGAACAGAGAAATTTCTTGGAAAAAGAAACCTCCTTTTGAATCCCTTGCACACACCGCATTGGATATAAATAGCCAAAAAACAGAATTGAGCAAAATAAAAATGGAGGAAATTAGAAACTCCCTCGTTAATCAATTGGGCAAAACGAAGAAGGTTCCTCTCCTCGTCGCTTCAATTAATTTAACTCTCGCGGAAAAAAAAAAACAAAAAATCAGGAAAAATTCTCGCGGTCCCGTGCCGGCCAAACAATTGATCGGGTCCGAAGATATCGACATCCGTAGTCGTCGCGCCATTTTTCTAGGCATTTGCTAAGAAATCTTTCGGAACGACCCGTTACTGAGATTTTTTAATTTTTTGTTTATTAGAATTTTCTTTCTTTTGTTTGTTCTATAGAAAGCCATGGACATCTTCGTTGATGGTTCCAGGGGATTTCCGTGCAAAATGTCCACGTTCTTCGTGACGTTTCTTTTGACTAGCGCGATGCGGTGAAAGATAATGTAGATAATTTACGGAGGACGTGAAATTTAGCAGTTGAATCTCCAGGTCAAGGGCTTCAATCATCTACGTCAACTCCAACTTTCAATCTTGTCAAGCACGCACGCACGAGTGGACAGAAAAAATTGAAAAAAAAAAATCCTGGAGAATATTGTATTACTTCGTTCGTTTTGAAGACTATATATAACCTCTCGAGACTTTTAGTGATAGATCGGTCAAAACAAAAAGACGTGACTCATCTATCGGGACGTCGTGATAATCCATAAAAAGATTAAAAAAGAACATCAATACGCCTGATCAATTCACTTGTTCGAGCGACTGGAATTATGAACCGATTAGGTATAGCGATCGTTCCTTTTTCATTTCGTTTGCAGCTATTTGATCTAGCATTTTTTCCACCTAATTCGCATCTCACCACCGACATAAGCACCTAATATCTTGTTGGGTCCTTTTTATCATTAAAAATATTTAAAAAATATATATTGCGAAGAGGCACTTGCAAAAAAAAAGAAAAGAAGAAGAGGCAATTCCAACTGACAGAGGAAAAAAACCTGGCCGAAAATAAATTAACGGGACAAAAAAACAAAAGAAAGAAAGAAAAAGAGGCACTTCCCAGATTCTTCGCTTCATTTTGGGTATGGGCCTTGCTAAGCCCATTGGCCCGTTTATCGGCCCATAAATTTTTGGTGACCCGGAATGGGCTGGCCCAGATCTTGAAAATACTCGTCGCCGAGAGAGACTTTTTCGTGTTTTCCAAAGCACGATAATATCCAACTAAGAAAATTAGCGCACAATTCAGCGAGTTTTACTCATAATCTCGGTTTAATAAATGCTGACGTGACGGTCCATGTTAGAAAAATATATATGTAACGTGAATTGATGAAAGAAGTTCCGAAATTAAATTGAATTGAGAAAAAAAAATTCAGAAATTGATCATATTGATTATTGGACTATATTTATTTCATGAAAAATGAATAATTTAAAAAATATTTTCTTAAAAATAATCATTTTATTGCTAAAAAAAATGAACAAACGAAAAGTATTTTTTATCGTCTATTAAAATATCGAAATACAAATGATTGTTAATAATGAATTTTTTTTATTAAATAATTATTTATAGCGGTATAAGCGGTTAATTTTAGGATTTTTTTGTATGTAAATTATCTATTTTTTCGCAAGAAAGTTCACTGAAAAATGAAATAAAGTGAAAATTAACTGACGTGTGGGGGCAAGAAGGGGGCAGATGTCTGCTGCGATCCAGAGGATACTTGTGATGGCCTCCAAGCCCCAGCGCCTCCGTCAATGTCTTCTTCTTCTTCTTCTTCTTCTTCCTGCTTCCTTTCTTGGCGACTCTCACCCTTTCCTGCACAACCCTAGAAATTTACTCTCTCTCTATCTATCTCTCTCTCTGTGCCGCGTGTAGGGGCAGATTTCCAGAGCTCAGCTAAGAAGGCCAGGACGATGACGTCTCAACCTTCTCTCAAGGACGACTTCTCCGCCTACGCCGATTACCTCAACAATCTCGTAATGTTCTCTCCCTCTCTTTCTTTTCATGGGTTTGTTGTTATCGAGATGTGGGCATAGATGGCAGTGGGTGTGTGGAGAAATTGGAAGGCGAGAGATCCTGTGTAGTGAGCTTCTAGGATCGCCCCTTTTCACCCAAGGGGGCTGGTGTTTGAAGCTGTGCGTAGTGTTTTGCATTAAAGGGTTGTTTTCGTTGGTGCGCAGTGCGGTGAGAAATGAGTTGGCTGGCACTAAGCATTCACTTTTTGCATAAGAACTAAGCTGCGCTGAAGCGTAGAGGTTTAGGGTATTTGATTATTTGACCACCCTTTTGCTGATAGCTTAACTACGAGCATCCTGATTGCTTATCTTCTCTGAGGTTAAAAATTAGATAAAGCTGTATGATTTGGGCAATGGGCATGATACGTGCTCCTTCGAATCGCGTATATATGGAAGTCATTTGGCTCTGTGATCGCGGCCTTTTCTCGGAGTCATGCTTACATATACCTTGGCCTTTTGTTGGCACATGACCTTTCCCTAACTATTGGGTTCTCTCATTTCTGTTCAAACGTTTGTCTGACACGACCCCGATTTGCATCTGTAGAATGAGAAACGCGAAAGGGTAGTAAAAGCGAGTCGAGACATAACCATGAACAGCAAGAAGGTTATTTTTCAGGTGCACAGGTATACATTTATTGGTATATTTTTTTTTATCTCTTTGGTGCCATGCGCTTTCAAAAGGGTCAAATGATCTAATTCTTTGATTCTTGCTGTAACTGATAAAATTGCAAGTAGGAGGCATCGCCAAACTAGTTTTGCATGATCAATTTTTAAAATTTACCTTCCCAGTCTTCTTGGAATGAACCATGTTCCATGTCGTGCTTATCGTAGAATCAGTAAAAACAACAGAGAGGAAGTCTTGGAGAAGGCACACAAGGATTTAGCAGCTGTTATGGATCAGTACATTGCTAGACTTGTAAAAGAATTGCGAGGCAGTGACTTTTGGAAACTACGACGGGCATACTCTCCAGGGGTTTGTGATAGTTTCTCTGTCTGCTTCAAAGGCCTAAATAGATTACTGCAATTGCCTAATTTGACCCTTTGATTTGCAGATACAGGAGTATGTTGAGGCTGCTACTCTCTGTAGATTTTGTAAATCTGGGACCCTTTTAAATCTCGAGGAGATGAATGCTTCTTTATCATCGCTGAGCAACCCATCTCATGAACCTTTGCAGATTAATATCCTCGATTACATTCTCGGGGTAATGACCTAAAATTTCATAGTATGGGCACTCCTGACTACTTTACCCACTAGAGCACGTCATTCTTCGCCCTTTATGTTATTGAAGTTTGAGATGGATGGCGAAGTGCATGCAAAATATGTATGTAGGTGCACTCCACCATAAGGTGTTTAGTCGGAGAGCATACGAAAACATGTAATAGCGTCACAGCATTGGCATACGAAAACCAATCAGGATGAAGCATTGAAATACCTTTTTTTTGCTCTGTCAATTGATCTTTTGAACTAGTTCGGTCTATTTAAAACATCGAGTTAGTTGATTCTGGTCATCTACCGGACTCGAATGTGTGCTTGAATAAGCAAAGGTCGTGCATGTACCAGCAAACACTTGAAATGCATGCAAGCTAACTTACTTGAGCTGCTATGTCTTATCAGAAACTTAAAGCTGGTATTTGTTCATATGAAGCTTGCAGATTTGACAGGAGAGCTTATGAGGTTGGCTATTGGTCGAATTTCAGATGGTGAACTTGAATATGCTAAAGAGATATGTACATTTGTGCGTGAAATACACCGTGAGCTGACCCTTTTAGTGCCACACATGGACGAACCTCTTGATATGAAGACGAAGATGGAGACAATGCTTCAAAGTGTGATAAAAATTGAGAATGGTACTATGCTGCCACTTTCATGGCTAATATCTGTGTATCTACTATTGCTCGATGATCATTTCAGGTCTTCTTGTTTGATGGCATTACACGTAGAGATCGCTTAGCTGAGTCTGAGGCATTAAATCGTCAATTCACTGAGTTAGTCATGAACTTTAGTTCAGTTATGGAAAGTTCTAAGCAAGTAGCTCTTTTCAAATGATTTATACTTGAACCTTTGCTAGTTTGAGTTTTGTGAATTTCCTTCTGCATTTAAAAGGTACTTCCTTTTCTTTTCTAATTCTAACCTCGTTAGAGTTGTGCTGAGACTGAAAGGGACTAGCCGTTATGTACTTCAAAATATCAAAGTGAATGTAAGATCTTATTTGTGCTCGGTTGCTTGGGAACACACTTCCTCTTCATGCATCAGAATTGAATTCCCCCCAAGCTCTGACAGGTTCTTCCTCGTTTTAGCTTGCTTTAGTGTCCACGTGAGAGGATCAGAATATATCCCGCTGCTCGGATCTGATGACCCAAGTTACTCTTTGATGGGGCTTGGCGAGGGAATTGATCTATAAAGTACACTCTCTTCACCTCCCAAGTCCTTACATCATGGTCATTTTTTTTTCAGTGTTTTATCGGAAAAATAACAAGAAATACTTGTGTCTTGCAGGCGGTTCTGAGGCCGAGACGTTTCGAGTTGCTTCTAGGCAAAGGTCTCGGTGCCCGAAAAACAGGAAGCTTCTGCAACAACAACTCAAGTGAAAGGAGCTCTGCCATGTATCCCGTCAAAAGCCTCCTGTCTGGATCCTGTTTTTACTCGTGGCAAATGGTGAACTGTATACTGTAACTGAGGTTATGGGTCAAAGGAGATTTTGACATGGGATGGTTTGATTTTAAAGTTGCACGAGCTTTCTTGACAACATAAAAGGACTCTTGCCCCCCTCCTTTCGAAACTTTTGTTGGTTTTCTCTCACCTTTGTAGTTTGTATCATCAAAGAACGTACGTTAGGTCGATTTATTGCAAAAAGGCCCAGCTTCATCTGAGCTTTCGAGTATCAGCCCAGTGCAGAAAGCCCCACTCGGCTCTCTCAATATAGAGCCGAACCAGTCCTTGGGAGAGAGCGTTTATGATTCACTTTGGGCCATCACGATTGTTCTTGCCATCAACTGTCTGATTTCTCTTTCGCTCCCACTGCACTCGATCCGAAGACACGAAAGCCGCGGGCACGGCTCTAGCTAAACGAGGTGTTCGATGCCATCCGCGACGAAACGAGACCACTGGCAGATCATTACTAATGAACAACTATGCGAGCATCTGCTGCACTAGCTCGTGAACACTCCGAATGTTTGTTCCCTTCATTTCAGGCTCAGGATTTTGCTTTCTTTTCTTTTCTTTTGAAGCATCAAAGGTGCACGCACGTGGGATTCAATTCTAGTTAAGCTGTCACCATCAACCTCCTAGCTAGCTTGTGGGCCAAAACCGATTGATGCGGGGCCCATCTCTGTACATCTGTCCAAAACAAAGAGAGGAAAAAGAACAGCTTGCAATATGGGCCGTAGGACACCGTATACGTTTCCGGACGGCGCTTAATGGACACCATCGATCGATCTATCCTTCCCAATCGTACACAAACATAGTGAGCTGTTTCCTTTTAACGTACGGAAATTTGGTTGCAAAAGGCAGAGGATGAGACGTTCGTTTTGGTAAGAAGTCTAGTCGTTATTGCCCACCACACCTCCCCGTACGTGACATCGCTCTTGACCCGCGTTGTCGGTCATTACGTGCCCGTTATCCCTCGCTATTCGCAGAAACCGATCTGCCGCTACTTAGGAATTTGATCATACATGTCGTGTTTGTCGCGTAAACTAATCCTTAGGACGGGACAATTTCTCCTCGGAGAGAGAATCTCACGAATGCATGATTCGGAACCTAACGCTTCTGGTTAACGACTAGATGCGGTGGCTTTAGGCACGGATGATCAAGAACAAGGAAAATGCCAATGATGTGCTTTTTAATTAGACGGCAGTTAGGTGAAATCAAGTTGCGTGTATTATTTTAGTTAAGGACGATGAAGGTACGAAGAATGGGTTGTTAGGCAATCTATTGGGAAGCTGGCATATGCATTTGTACCGTTTCGATTTGGCCATCATGTTCTTGGTGGTCACCCGACGCAATAGATGCGCTGCTCGTCACATCGTCCCCCCCGCAACATTCACGTTTCCGTGACCGGTGCGGCCGTCCTAATGTCCGGTACTTCACTCTACTATTCATAACCCTACCCATTTGACATCTCGCGCGAGCCCCCCCTCCGTCCCGGTCCCCAGCGGTCGATGGCTCAAGACCTGTTAAACGGGTGGGTCGGGTCGGGTTTGGGTCTGGTCATAAATGGTCCGACCCAAATTGACCCATTAACCCGTTTATGATCCATTTATTCATAGTGTAAATATCTTGACCCATACCCGACCCATATTACTAAAACACTTTTATATTTAACCTAATCTAGGAATACTTGTTTCTTATGATTTTTTTTAAATTATACTACTAAAATATTTTATGCAATACAAAGCTAATGAAAAAATTTTATAATTTTTTTTAAAAATTGAGGTTATGTTTTTTTTTACGAAAAATGCAACATTTCTAAAAAATATTTTCCATAAAGTCATTATCCAAGAAAATAAAAAAATTAATATATTTTTATTTTTTAAATCGAATTTTTAATTTTTTTCTTTTTCCTTTATTTTTGGCCGATCGTCGGCCGCCGTGGCCGGCGACCGACCACAGGCGAGGACGAGCTCGCCGGAGGCCGGCAAAGCTCGTTCTCGCCGATCTAGCGAGGCTCCAGCCTCGCCACAGGTCGACGAGGCTGGAGCCTCGCCGGGATCGGGCGAGCCTCGAGGTCGCCGGAATCGGGCGAGCTCGAGGCTCGCCAGATCGGCGAGGCTCGAGCCTCGTCGACCTGTGGCGAGGTCGTCCCGCCCCGGTGGCCAGTCGCCGTGGCCGACCACCGGCCGGAATAAAAAAAAAAGAAAAAGAAAGAAGAGAAAAGAAAAAATAAAAGAAAAAGAGAAAAAATAAAAATAATTAAATTTCGATTTTTTTAAAACATTTTTGTAAAGAGGGAGAGAGTGTGTGGATGGGTCTAGCAGGTGGGTTGGACATGGGTTCCAAACTCAACCCATTTAGACCCATTTATCTTTAATCTTTAAAATTTAAAACCCATTTAAGGTTGGCTCTTTAAAATTAAAGTGACCATTTTAAAATGGGTCATATATGGGTTTAAGACCCATTTTGACACCTCTACTGACGGAGGCAATGGAGAAGGCACGGGGACAGCGACCGAGGCGAGGAGAGAGAGAGAGAGAGCGCGCGCAAATCCAAACTCCCCGTAGGAAGTCCAGAGATCGCGAGTAAGATTTAGATAAGCCGGTGAGATTTCATTGGACGTATGGCCGACGAAAAGTCGATGGCTTCGGTTCCAAGAGATGGGCTGGTGGTGGTGGCCGCCACGCCAGCCTGGAAAGATGGAGTAGTTTTTAGCGGTGGAAGCACGTGCGTGTTCTGAGTTGGAAAATCTTGGCCTTTCGCCGTCGTGAAGAGACGTCGGCGCCAGTTTCTGTCCTTTGTCCCACCAGCTACGCACCTCCGCCGACGTAGGGTTTGGCGGTCGTAGCTGAGAACAGGGGAGAGCGCCCATCACTGCGCTGCTACATTAATCATTCGGCGGGGAAAATCGGCCAAGAAAAAAACGCTAAAGCTATTAGGCTCGTGCCAATTCAGTCGTGGACTTTCTAATTATTCCAATTCAGTCCTAAACATTTTTCATATTTTGCCAATCGAGTACATTTAGCCAAATTTGGACGAAAATCGCTGATTTGGACTCTGAGCGCGTCCTACGTGACACGGCCGGGGGTAGGACGGCCGGCGCTGAAATGAACCATTTTAAAGATATTTTTTGAATTTTTTTATTATTCTACGGTCACGACATGGGCATCCGCGTCAGCGATTTTCTGCCAAAATTGGTCTAATGGGCTCAATTTGGCAAAACGTCCGAAGGTTTATGATTTAATTGCACAAATAAAAGATTTACTATTGAATTGGCATAATCGCAATAAATTTATGACTTTTTCGATAATTCTCCCGTCATTCAGGTATTGACGTTCGAGACGGACTTAGAGCAGTGCGTAGAACTACGTTTAGCAATTAAGCTTGCGCTACTCAACTGTTAAAAGTCTATAACAACAAGGTAATTAATTGACTTGGTATCATTCTACCAATAGAAGGGCCCGTGCAAGAGTCCCAGTGGGCATGTATTAGCTCCCGCTGAATGAATTCGTTTGGTATTTCAAAAGCAATACAATTTCTAAATAAAATAAGTATTGAACAAGGGCGATCGGTTCTAGGGTGGGTAGGTTCCGAACCTAGAATCCGGAATCTACCACTTGAAATCTGGAACCTACCCTGTTAGGATCGGTTCCCGACTTTTGGAGCAGAGAGCCGTCCCTGTCGATGCTAAAAATAATCGGGGGCATTTTTTTTTTTCCCTCTGTTTTATTTTTGTTTTTGTATGAGAAATCCGAAGATTTGGGCGTCGTTTTCTTTGTTCGTCACAATCAAGAGAAAAGTTTGCACGGGCTTGGATGGCACCGCAAAGAAAAACTCTGTCCATGTCTATGATCATCCACAAAGGTCGAATGTCGTTTCGAAAATCAGCTATTGAACCAATTCGATTCCAAGGTTCCGTCCTGAACCTGGTCTCGCAAAGCCGATCGTTGCCTTGGGCAAAAGGTGCAATTTTTTAAACGGTCTAGTCATTGGGGAGTCGGACTCAGCAAGAGCGCGGAGAAAAGATTGCTCATTTTGAATTGAGCACTAAAAAAGATTAGGGTTAATATCAAGAAAAACCTCAGACTGGTATACCTATGACAAATTTACCAAAAACTAATTTTTTTACCATAAAAAACCTAAAACCGGTACACTTGTCACAAATTTATCCTAAACTAATTTTTTGACCACAAAAAACCCAAAACTGATACATTTGTGATAAATTTACCCTCTATTTAATTAGATTAATATCACAAAAAATCACAAAAATGTGTAATAGACGGAGGAGGGTAAAACCACAAAACTAATATATCCGTCAATTGCTACGCATCATCCAACTAAAAAATTTAATGGTAAAATTTAACGGAAACTAACAGAAAGTGAATTTATCACGAGTGTACAGATTTTGAGAGTTTCGTTGTATTTACCCAAAAAATGACTATGTTTTCGTACTTAAAGCTGTAGAAGTATCCTGTTGAAGAATCTGTCCCGAGCCAAGGTTCCAAACGTGGTTGTTTTCTTGTTTTTCTCATTATAATTCACGTTCGTTTATTTATTTTAAAGCAAAATAATGCCAAGGGTTTACTCGTTTCAGTGACCTCCTTCGGACGTTGCCATGACAACCTTATACCCGCCGTCAAATGTACGCTCGAACCATAACTGCTCCGCATCACCCGCCCGGGACTCGAGAGTCCGAGGTTGGCAAACCCGTCGTCGCGACCGAACCCGGCGTGCTGCCAACCGCAAAGTCTCTCCGCACCAAATTCCAATCTCCAATCCATGGTCCGTGTCTTGAAAAATTTGAGGGACGAATTAAAATAAACGATCTTTAAACGACTGAATGTCCAAGAAGTTTGGATATTCAACTCTAGTCATTATAATCGAGAATTATTTTCAAATCAATTCGTTCTGACATAAAACAAAGAACAAAATATCTCAGCACATGCCAAAATCATTATCTCAATATGTTGTGCTTATATAGCAATATGGAGAGAGTAAGATGATCTCGGTCTCAATGTAAAATAGCCACGAGAAGTACGCGAAAGGCGTTGGATCTTTCGACTCTTTGCCAATTGCCTAATACAAGATTTAAGGAAACAGATTTACCTTTAAAAGTATCACATGGCTCGG